TGAACACTATGAGTAGCTAAACCCCTCAATGCTATGGGGTGTCCCTGATTTGAGTATGTAATGACTTTGATATTAGTATTGCAATAACAATCTCTTTGTTTTTCATAATTGATTTGATCTCTAGCTATTCTTAATGATTGCCCTGTCGGACAAACAGGGTTTGATTTTCGATTAACGATTAGGCTGGACCGCCGTTGCTAATGCTTTTCTTGGGATTATTCTATAGTAGATATCACCTAGGACTAGGGATACCCTATAGAAATCAGAATATTCTTGATAATTGATTGCTTAATTTCATCTGTAATTCTCTATGGACATATGAATTAGGGTGGATGATTAAATGTTTTCTCATTAAGGACATAGGAGATAACATTCTAAAGAATTGGTAATTAATTAATTACAATAAGTTGTTGCAATGTTAATTCAGAGTTGTTACTGAGTCGGATCATACACCATCTCTAGCATAGTTTACTCATATATTTTCTAAACCACTCAATTATTTTCTTTATTTTTATGCAATTGTTTTATAATTTCACCAAACAATCCTAAACCCCAAGTTTTTGTTTAGTTGAATTAAACTCAGAACTCTATATCCTCGAGCAGTCCTTGAGATCGACATTTGGGAATGTATCCCTTATTACTACATAGGCAAAATAGTACACTTCCTATTTTTCTGATCATTAAGTGTTTGAGGTTTAGGTTGTTACATAGTTGGCATCAGAGCATGTCGGTCCATTCAGCCTGGTTTTGCAAACTTGTGTATACCTTGATGTGCGACATGTGTGTGAACACTATCGATGCTTGTTTTCGTTAACCGCTATTTACTTTATTGTTGCAACTGGTTTTGTGGCTGGTTGCGTATGAAATAATGGTGTGGATGTTGAAGGTTCCAAGTGTGTGAAGTTTGAAAGTGGTCTACATCTTGAGATCAATTAGTTCATAGGCTATTAGGAGATCCTTCATTTCTCATTTCTAGTAAACAAATGTTGAACTTATGATGAGGATAGTAGAGTTGTATCTCCTTGCTATAAGAGTGTGAGTGAGAAGAAATGTGAGAGTCAGGATCATAGTAAGCTATATGTGACTCTAGTTGCTAAAGGGAATCAGAAGTCCCAACAGTCCGCGGGTGGGAATAGAATGAGTGAGGGAGGAGTTTATGCTTCTCTGAGATGTTTCAAGTGTATATAGTTAGATCATTGTGCTACTGAGTGCGAGAGCACGGGCCTTTCATGCTTCAAGTGTGGGAAGCAGAGACATTGTTTCGTTGATTGTAAGAGTGTGGTTTTAACTTGTTTTAATTGTGGTGAACCAGGTCACATTAGTACCCAATTTTAGAATCCTAGGAAAGCACCAGATGTCGTGCAAGTTAGTGGGGAGGTATTTTCTCTTAGTGGTGTGAAGGTCTTAAGATCGAATAATTAGATTTGAGGTACGTACATTGTTATGCATCAGCTAGCTCAGCCCAAGTACGCACATTGTTATGCTCCAATTGCATGTACCATTCTACATATGCTCTAGTCAGGCTATCCTGAAAATAATGCATCATGAGCTTCTCATTTCTTGCATATGCAGCCATTTTTCTACAATACATCTTCAAATGGATATTAGGACAATTGAGGCCCTTCTACTTCTCAAATTTTATCTATTTGAATTAAAGGGGAATCACAATATCAGGCACTAGACACATTTCTATAACACTCAAGTTGGTTGAATTATGCCCCTCCATGACTCTCATTATTTTTCTAAGGCTAGACACATTTGGGTGGCTTCATAATCCTGAGCAGCAGTAGGATTCACCACTGAAGCAACCCTTTGATAGTTATGCATTTCTTACTCATCTTGGATCTCCTCATTAGTGCAAGGAATGCGAATCTGATTGACAACATGTGGACCTCACAGAGTAACACCCTCAGTGACTCCATAGATATGTAATGGATAAGGCACATGAGCTCCCTCAGGCGGAAGAGTGAAACCATGAGGAAGATCATATAGCACAGGATTGGGAATAGGACCTGAAGGTCGTAAAGGTGAAGCAAATCTTTGAACAGGGCCATCATTTCTAATGAGATTGCTATTTTTATGTAAGAATAATAAAAATAATTATTAGCCTTTAGATTAAAAATAAATGGTTGAGACTAAAATGTCCATTTAAGGAACATGTATGTCTCTTTCATCATTTAATTGAACATGAGTTTCAACACACATAAATGATGAAAGAGACACAAATGTTTCTTAAATGAAATTTTTAATCTCAACCATTTATTTTTATTTTTTTAGGGTTAATAATTATTTCTACTATTCTCACATGAAAATACTATTTCCATTAAATATGTCCCATAATATATATATATATATATATATATATATATATATATATATATATATATATATATATATATATATATATATATATATATATATATATATATATATATATATATATATATATATATATATATATATATATATATATATATATATATATATATATATATATATATATATATATATATATATACACACACACACACACACACATCAAAATAAGTATCCACCTATGATTCTTTGAATTTTAGCATATATAAAATTTAACTTGATCTAAATCGGATTGCTGAATTCGATTGTAAAGGCGTTTCCTACATCTTACGTATGACTTTGTGATATTACATAACAATGTTTATAAGGGTGCCCGCATTAACAAACCACCTCCTTCACTGTCGATGCTGAAAATAATCTACATTGAAGAAATGTCGCTTTTTATACACAAACATATTGAGCGGGTTGTAAATGTTAAGGGTGATGGTAATTACGGTTGTCGGACCGTATGCGGCTTTCTCGGTAGAGGATAAGAGAATCAATTTCTTGTCTACCAACAACTTTTGAAAGAGTTGACGTCGCATAGGGAATTTTATACATCACTATAAGGGGAAAAAAACATTCGATGCAATTCACGATGCTCTTATTCCTTATGTTAACGGTCTCATATCGGATTCAAAATGGATATGCTTCACTGAAATGATCATTTATAGCAAGTGCATATAACATGATGTGTATCGATCTGACAAGATATGGTTTCTCAGAGATATTTTTTCTACTTCGGAGTGGTCCACCTCAAGATTCATATGGGTGCATCATGTGTATTGAGTAGCTTTCAAAATCGCTACATTTTGTTGAGGTTTGTTTGAAAGTGTGGTGTCTTATACCAACTACATCATTGGAGTGGACGACACATTCCACAAAAGAGGCGGAAACTTGGTCGGATCAATTTTTGAAAAGGATGGAAGATTTATGTGGTGATGTATCTTTTGATACATTTTAGATTGTAATTGATACACTTTTTGAATGTATTATCGTCAACGATGTAATCTTGATACAAATTAATACATAAGTAATATATATTCAACAATGATTGTGTAAATGTCAATTGTTTCCATTTATAAATTTTATGTTTTTGTTTACACAATTTCGTGTGATTCTGATTCAGGGTGATTCTAGATATGCATATTCAAATACATTCCACACTAAATTAAAAAAATAAAACAGGGCAGTTTACGGATATGCATCTCCGAAAAACTCCCTGATGACAGGATAAGATTTCTAAGGTCAAAAGTGACTCAAAACTTGTATAAATAGAGCGTCTTTATTCTCATACTTTCTATAAAACACACCACAATCAGAAAATGAATGCATATCCTCACTTTGCATTTGTGTATTTAAATTGTGTGAAACCGCCATTTCAATGTAACATTACCGTTGAAACGCCTCTCGCCGATCCGATACCCAAACTAAATACTCTCCTTCAATATAAAAAAAAAAACGGAGAGTTGTCAAGCCCAAGTATCGTTTAGCCTCGTTTGACAGTGAAGAGAAGATATAGTTCATCAACTTTGAATTGAAGACAGATGAATATTTAAAGGTCATGTGGAGTACATTTTACCGTTACGCATCAAAGGATTCGATTGAAATTGATGCAAAGATTGGAAATTCTGTCGACAATATTATCAATATGTTGCAACGTTCTAAACTACCTATTTATAACAATATGTTATGTTAACAAATATCTATAATAATATGTTATGTTAACAAATATATGTGTAATGTTGAGTGTTTTAATTTAATGTCAAGTTATTTTTGTTTCTAAATCTTGTTCATACTATCTCTGATTCTGGTTTAAAGTATTCGGACAATTTTTGAATATGCAAGTCCAAATTATACTAAATACATTTTCGAAGATACAACTCCGAACTTAAATTAAATATAATAGGGATTGGTCACTCATCTACATTCAATTTTGCGAGAGATAAGTATATTCGAAGATGCATCTCCGAACTTTATGGACATCTTTAAATTTTCACAAGGAATTTGTGAGAAGCTATAGAAATGAGAAAAAGAAATTTCCAAAATTTGAAAGTGGATATACTTGCCATTTACATAATGTATAACAATGAATAATCAAATCTCTAAATTCGAAAACAGATATCAGAGACAACCTTCGCCAAGAAGAAAGAGCCGTCATAGAAGATTGAGAACAATTTCAATAAGACAGCAAAATTATAAATTCAATAAGGAATATAAAATGAGCGTAAATTACTCACCAAACAAAGGTTTCTAACTCTAACAGATAAGAATTTAAGATTACACAAGGACTTGTTCAAATAATTTATATATTGATTACAGATTGATTAACACTATCTTCTAATCAGAAAAAACAAAGAACTTGCAAAAGAATTTTAATTTAATTTGCTTTAGATAAAAACAAAGGTGAAATAAACGAGTTAAATTAACTGTGAACAGAGAAAAGACACAAAGCACCTCGTCACAGTAGATAATGGAGGAGCAGAAAGAAAGAAGGGGGGTGGAGGCAGGGATACATGGAGGATTCTTATCTCGAATGTATATCTATGTTACTAGCTGTTCTTTAATCCGACGGGTAGTGCCCATCAGAACGTAACCGGTATAACACATTATATGGCTGTTTTTGAACCACAGAATAATCCTTTTTATTTCCATAACTTTACAGACTTGTCATGACTGGCAGAAGCAACCATCCCTGTCACTGGTGATTGTGCTAGAGCTGATATTACACCCTCGTGAGCTGGTATTGTCATACATTTATTTTCGGCCATTAACCATAGCTCCAATGACTGCAAACCATTAAAGAAACAAATGTTTTTTTAGAGAGCCGTAGCTTGCTCTAGAATATAAATATTCTGCATTAACTACACATGAACAATTTATGCGTGTGTGTGTGTGTATATATATATATATATATATATATATATATATATATATATATATATATATATATATATATATATATATATATACACTAACTTGTGTAAGAGAGACAGACAGTCACTGACATCATTAATAACTGTCAATATAGTACAAACACAAGAATACCTGGTATCCTCCAATAACCAAGAGGTTGGAGTAGCTTGGGTGAAAAACACAAGAATGAAACATGTTTCCACTGGAATTAAGTTCATGAATGCAGTCCCCAGAGGCAAGTGACCAGACTTTGACAGATTCTTGACTCACAGATGCCAAATAATCTCCATTTGTATCCCAGCATATACAATGTACATCCGCAGAGTGTCCCTAGAAATACGTAAATTCAAAATATAAATAAATATTAAAGGATAATATAATAAAAGCAAGAATAGAATTGTATTTTATGCATAGATTTATTGAAATTCGGTGCCCTTGTTTACATTTAATGAGTGCATTTTCCTGTCAGTCTCAACATCAAAGAGAGAAACAACATTGCCAGATGCTGCAGCCAGAAGGTGTCCACTCCTTGGCTGAAACCTCACCTGTGTAGATCCTCCCTGCTTGATAAACTTAACCAGTTTCAGAAGAGAGAATATGCCAAATCCATCACATTTATGAGTAAATCAAATAAATTTCACACATGACCTTAAAAACGCGAGTACAAGAATATTGATTAATATTCCAGAAGCGAATCTCACTGTTATCATCACAGGAACAGAAAAGGTCATTTTTCTTGGGGTGAAAATCAAGGGATGCAACATGAGAAGAATGACCACTATATGCCTGCAAGGAAAAGCTTGGCTGCAAAAGTAATAGCCAAAGGTTAGTCCCAGCTTTAAGCAAACCAATATTTTAAATAAATACTACTGCCTAAGGCATAGGAGATATAAAGCTTTGAACACCCGGTTTCATGATTATGCTAAACAAACACCAATGATAAATATTAAAAAAGAAAACACAGGATATTTCTTATAGATAAATACATAGCCCTTTGATAGTAGTTTTATCCACTGAGGTATAAAATGTAATTTAAAACATGGACTGTCAAACATACAACAACAGGCAAACCATACACCACCAAGTGTCTGAAACTTTAAACTGTGAAACGGAATGATACACAACTGACCATAAACGTAATGAGTGGCTAAAGAAGGGTTCCAAATTCTAAGACATCAGCTTCCAAGACTAACGGTTTCTAGCTAGTTTACAGAAGCTGACATATTACAATCAACCATGTGTTTAGACACATGCTAAAAATATGCAAAATTTCTAAAGTGATATAAGGATGTCACAATGTTGAACACGTAGGGATGGCAATGGAAAGGGTTAAGGCAATGTACTATAGTACTCATCCCCATATCCACGGTTTGAAAATATCCTCGTATCCGAGCCCATACCCGTGTGACACCAAAGTTTGTACTTGTTACCCACATTTCTAATAAAAATAAATCGATCAATTATAAAATATTATATCATTCTAAGTTTTTAACATTAGTAATCAAGCCCATTAAGTTTGAATAGTCTGTATAAAAAGATTAGTGCTGTATTATTTATACCGAAATATATGATATTCAGTTTTCACACTTTACACTAAACCTAGACAACACCTAGATATAATGACTTTCATTTCCAACAGTAAAAGAAATATAAGGTTGGTTTGGTGGTTGGGACAGAGTTAAGGAGTGGAGTGATAAGGAGGTTGAAGATTTATCCCCGCCCACAGCATAACCCAAACATACTAACACGTCATTTGGAAAAAGAAAAAAAAAACTATCAGTAAATGAAATAGTAATCCCCATGAGGAAGAGAAAAATGCATTCAATTAGAAATAAAGCATATCATAATCCCAAATACTCAGGAAAGACAAGGAATGATCAAATATAACACTCAAACAGTTAAAATAAAAAATTACATCTGCAGCATCCCAAAGTCGCACAGTTGTATCAAACGAAGATGTTGCCAGCTGAGTTGAATTTGGTCTGAAGCGAACATCAGTAATAATAACAGTGTGTTCCTCTGGTGTGCTCTGTGTTTGCAGTGTCTCCGTGTTCCATAGAACAACCTAATGACAAGGGATAGGATAAGCAACTGTTTCTTTAACACAATAAGGGTCTGTTCCATATGAAGAGCAAAAATGAGTGAAAATTGTGTATATGTTTACAAGTTTAAAAGAGTATTGAAAACTGACCCTTTCACTCCAATTTTTATCCCCATACCATACTGATACCAGAAGTCAACATTTGATGCTATTCTTATCTTTAGATAAACAAGACAAACATGCCAACACCCAACGAATACTGAATTAAAGCATACCTACTATGCAATTTGTTGGAGCAACCGTATAATTTCCTTATTTATTCATTTTCTATATTTAGTCCTTTTGATTATAATAATACTCTCCTATATTTAGTCCTTTTCTCCTTTCAAAGTCCTTTTCTCCTTTCAAAGTCCTTATCATTATGGATTTAAACTAGGAGAACAAAAGAATCAGTAGCAGCATAAGACCACAAAATGCTTGCGAAAAGATATATTTTCTATTTTTATTGACAAAATAGCATCTTATATATTTACGGCATAAAATTCTTATTATACAGAGACTTGAGCAGAAATTTATAAAAAAAAAAACACTTGACATGAGTTTTTGACGAGAAGATAAATTTCCGGAACTCAACAATAATAGTCCTCTAACTAATGCTCAGTGTTACAGTACAAAACAACCATCCATCAACCTTGACACACCAACATATGCATTCTAGAAAGTTGATTCTTAAGGCATGAGGTAAAATGCATTGTCTGAGAGTGTGAGGGAAAATTATACATAAATTATCCATGAACCATCACCTATTAGCATATGGGACCAGAGCGAGACAGACACTAGATACTTGGGGTTTTGATCATTAGTTCACAACTTAAAGCATGCTCTACTGTCTTAACTAGTTAATGCTGGTTCTTTTTCCATGCGTTAAAAACTCAAGTTAAATTCTACCCATGCTTGTTAAGGTGGAATCATATACCCAGCATTACAACCAAATCACATTAAACACAAATGCCTTGTATTAAGGCAAAACATAATGTTAAGCAAACGGCAATAAAGGAAGCATCCCCTAATAGGAGCAGACAATAATCAGACCGATAAGGTATCACTGATAGCAGCTGATTCAAGTGCATTATTATAAACATGTTAAAAGAATTAATCTTGTCAAGATTTTAATCTATAAAAAACAAAAAAGGAAACCAATTTTAGATCTTTAATTTAGAATTCATTGGCAAATATTTCTTTTTTGTTCTAAAACGTGTTATAACTATTTGGTAATTCTGATATCTCTTTTAAAGCAATAAATTGAAGAATTAAATTCATTTTACCTTCTTGTCATGTCCAGCACTGGCTAATAATTTCCCATCTGAGGAGAAATGACAACAAACAACTTTTCCATTGCTTTTGCGTACAGAACCAACTTCATTGAAGGAAAAGCCTGAAAGGAACCTATACAGTCAATATATATAAATGACAAAAACTTATACACATGAAACCTGGCTACTTCAATACGGAAATACGGATCTACGGGACAATTTTAAAATTCAATATATGATACGGCCAAGATACTTCAATAAAAAATTAAATTTAATACTAAATATATAAGTGTGCGGTTTATAACATAACTAAAAAGGATAATAAAGAAACATTCACATTATTTAAAAGTGATTGTCAAAACAAATGACGAAGCATCACGGATGATGAAAAGAATAGTAAGAAATACAAGAAAAAGAGATATTTAGGTAAAACCGTGTGTCTAAATAGCAACGTACGGAAGTTCTATTATTTAGTGAATTTCACAATTAATTGTATTAATTATATAAGAAATATACTACGGTAATGGCATATTTACAGAATATGATATGGGACCTTGTAGGAACTTTGTAAGCATGTCGGTTAATTGATCATTAGAGTTGACAAAACTTGTGACAATGTCGTGTGATTCAATCTTCTCTCTAACAAAATAACAATTTATCTCAATATGTTTAGTCCCCTTACCCTGCTTCAACCAAATTGATCATCTAATGCCATAGCCCTATATTTTGCCTCGGCGTTTGATCTTGCAACTATATTGTGTTTCTTACTTTTTTAAAATATCAGATTTTCTCCAACAAGTAGACAATATCCATAAGTTGATCATCTATCTATCAATGAGTGAGTCTACCCAATCAACATCGGAGTATCCAACTATATGAATATATCATATGTCTTCATGTGTGCGACCTTTTCCTGGAGCACTTTGATGTATCTCAGAAACCGGATAACAGTATCCATGTGTTCTTGGCAAGGAGAATTTAAGAATTGGTTTACCGCACTAACCGTAAATGAAATGTCTGAACGAGTGACTGTAAGATAATTCAACTTTCCAACCAGTCTCTTATACCTTCCTCAGTTAGATAGAGGCTCCCCTTGATTGAGTAGGAGTTTGACACTTGGGTCCATGGGAGTATCAGCTGGTTTAGCGTTCAACAAGCATGTTTCTTCCAAAAGGTCTATAGCATATTTTCGTTGAGAAGTTACCAAATCATCTTTAAATTGACCTACCTCAATACCCAAAAAATAACATTCTTTATCTAGATCTTGTGTCTAAAATTAATTCAAAATATGTTGTTTCAACTGAAATATTCCCTACTAATCACTACCATTTATGATAATATCATTTACATGCACAATAAGACAAATGCATCCTTGGACAGAGTGGCGATAAAAAAATAGAATGGACGACTTCACTACAAACCATACAAAACTGTTGTACTAAGGTGGTTGAATCTCTCAAATTAAGCTCTCCGAGATTGCTTAAGACCATAAAGAAATTTGTGTAGTCGACAAACCATAGTCGATGACTCCCGCTGAGCAACAAACCCAGGTGGCTACTCCATATATACTTCTTCTTCAAGATCACCATATAAAAATGCATTTTTTATATCAAGTTGATGAAGAGGCCAATGTCGAATGGCTGCAATGGCGAGTCTAAGTGTAACTTCTTTGCTACATGCGAGAAAATATCACTATAATCAAACCCAAAAATCTGAGTGTATCATTTGACTATCAAGCTTCACGATATAAAGCAAACAACAACCTAGCAAAGATTTCTCATTGGGGTAGAGGAACCAATTCCCAGACACCACTACTTTAAAGAGCACACATCTCGTCAACCATTGTTTGCCTCCACTCAGGGTGACAAAGAAGACAAAGAAATAGGAAACAAAGAAGACAAGCACGTATAATGTAAAGGGAAAAGACGGTGATAACATAAATCAATATAATGTGAGGGATTTCATGTTTGATGTATATTTTTCCAAAGGACAAATCGGAAGTTCGGACTCAGGCTACAAGATCGGATCCAGTGATGGAGACAGTGCTAGAGGAAAGTCTACAACGACCTCAGGGACAGGTACGGAAGACGTTGGGTGACAACGTTGCTATGTTTGTAATGGTTGTGAAATGGGGGGTTCAAACGTAGGGGTATCTAGTGGATCAGACTCCATGGACTCATAAAAAACAATGGCAAACGAGACATTAATAACTTGCGGAAGAGGCGTAGGAGTAATTTCTTGAAAAGTTCGGAAGTCACGTGGTTGGACTCGAAATATGGACTCAAAAAAGGTAACATCGACGGATATATGCGGTATCGTTGTAGTGTAGGAAAATAACAACAATATTCTTTTTGGAATTGATGATAACCAAGAAAGACACACATGAATGATCGAGCTGACAGTTTATCAAATTTAGGATAACATGGGAGAGATTGTGAGCAAAACATGTAAACTCAAAGAACAAGAAAGAATTGGGTGAGGGGGCAGTGGGAAAAAAAGTATTGAATGAGAGATATTATTGTTAAGGACAGATGAAGGCATGCAATTTATAAGGTAAGCGCTTATGTTTACCACAAGTTACATTTGGATTGGTAGGACCCTAAACATATGAACAAATAAGATTGAAGGGGGAAAGGCTTCTTTTGTTGTTTAATGGAAAAGGTAGGCACTTATGTTTACATACTCGCACATATCATAACACATCACAGTGAAGACATTCAATATCTATCTTATTGAATAAAGCCAAAAATAAAACTTTAATGACTCCAAAAAAAAGGATGATTTACTCGACAATGAAAAGGAAAGATTTTTTTTCTTTTTAGAGAATACTGACTCTGACATAAATGAGTGGGACAAGTGAACTTTTGTACACTAACCTGATTCTTTAAGATGGTAAAGGTCATTCCTTTCTCTATTACATTCCAAACTCCTTATCTTGAAATATACAACAATCATTATGAAAAATCACACTAAAGGAGAAACTGTTTGTAAGTTTTTGTATGGAGACAAGGTTCATAGATAGTTTTGGAACATGAAGGACCCTTTTTTTTTAAGGTTATAAAATAATTTATTTGGATATCTCCAACGCCAGCTACAATTACAAGAGTACTATCTGCAGTAGCAATTTTTTTATTTCTGGGACAAGGGGAATGAGAGTGGAAGCTTGTCGGAAATCACCACACTACAATTACCAGATGATTTTTTAATACTATTGGTCATGAAGGAAACAAAAACAACCACCAAATATTTATGTATAAGATACCAAAGAAAACAAGAATCGATGAAGAAGTCAACCCAAAAAAATGTAGGGACAGCGTCTGGTACTGTATAGACGGCTGCTAAAAAATGTGCAAAGTTATACTAGCGATGGCAGGAAACTATACAAACGGCTTTCAGAAAGTGTACGGGACTGTATGGACGCTGCCGGAAAAGTATAAATAGCGTTTAATTTGAAGAACTTGACAGCATGTAGTGCTCAGTCAAGATTTGAGGTTATTGACAACAGAAAATGCCTAGTCAGATTTTCCCATAAATTATTTGTGGAAGTTGAGTCCCCAAGTTCAGGGACTCCGATACCATGTGAAAAATAGAAATAAGAAATTTTTTGAATGTACTTAAGTGAGTGAGTAAAGCACTCAACAACCATAATATTTATAAACACAATATACATCTCGTGCACATATATGACGTATCCCAAATGTATCGGCCACAATAGAATACATCTCGAGCATATCCAAACAAGCCTGCTCTATCCAATGCACATATACGACGTTCCCAAATGTATCGGCCACAATATTTTAAAAATTTTAAAATATAATTGACGGATACTTCTCTAATACGTAATGGAACTTATCAAACACATATCAATGTAGGATACGTATGCGACACCAACTCTTTGACATACACAGAAGTACATCAAAATTACCTTTTGAAGCATCTGTAGCATGCTCGGAAGGATTCCGTTTCAGTGTCCCAAATAAGTCCTTTCCATCACCATCATCTTGTGAGAGAAATGATTCCACATTATCATCTAAGGAGCCAACATCTCCAAAAGGTTCCAGGTCATCCTGCAAATAAAACAAAGTGAATAATCAAGTATTAACTATCATCTCTAACTTCAAAACAATAAGATTCATCTAATAATACAGGGAAATAAAACATAAATTCTAAGAATATAGTGCACAATTTTTCAAGTCTCAAATCCTTTGTCAATTCAAGAATATTATTTATACATTATCAAACATTGTAATTGTTGCATACACCAGAAAAAGAAAAAAAAACATAGTAATTGTTAGAATCAAAGAATCAAATTCAAATATTTATAAACATCTGAGTTTATTAGTAGGATTAAAATTTGTAAATAATACCGATTACTAGTATTTGTTGTATTTATTCTATATAATATTTTAAGTAGAGCTGAGTGTGCATATCAAAACAAAAACAAAAAATAGAGTCTGATTTAGACATTCAGAATCACAAAGTTATGATCATGTAGCTAGTGGGGTTTATCACTGCTGCAGGTGGGAAAGCCGCAGCGACAAAAAATTCTTGTCAAACATACATATTCTTAGAATACTCTTAGAATTTGTGGGTTGGGCCTAACTCATCCTTGCAAAACCGACTTGTAAAGTGAGAATTGCTCTCACTTACAAACACATGCTCAGACCATATATTGTCTGATGTTTAACACACACCCCTCATGTCCAGAATTGGACATCTGGAGTGTGGATATAAATGGTGGGTGGCCCGATAGTAGATGATCCAACGGATCTTAAACCAGACTCTGATACCAACTTAAATCTGAATATTTTTTTATTGAAATGAAAAGGATTCAACAACTATTTATATACATGAGATATATATAAACTAAATAAGAATGTAATCCTATCATAATTCCAAAGGATACTAAGAGATCATACTGCCATAAATATCAATGTCTCTACTATAAATATCAATATCTCAACACATATTTTTCCAATGTTTCTGCATCTCTATTCCTGAGCCTCCTAAACAGTTTATTATTTATTGTTAGAACTAAATAAACCTGTAGATTTTCTAGACTGATTGTTAGTATTTTTACAATATACAACTTTTTTAGATTAGTGCTTATTCAATAGACATTCAATCAAAAGAGTGGTTTTTAAGGCTGCAATGCTTTTTCTTTTTGAATGTATGTTCTGTCCAACTGTGCTATAATCAATGGACCCCTTATTTAGTGCAACCCACTACCATGCACAATCGTATATTGTCGCGCAATCCTCTGGCGAGCATGACGATCATTATCCCGATGTTGTATTCCTCCCCACGTGCTTCCGCCATGTTGTTGAAGCATCCATGTGCCTCCATTTCTCAGAAACGTTTTTCGGCAAGTTTGCTTTCAAGCATGTTCTCCACTTCTGTGCCATCCTTTCAGCATGTTTGCTTTCAAGCATGTTCTCCACTCCTGTATCATCCTTTCAGCATGTCTACAAATTCTCTGCCAAATTTCCTCTTCCGTCATCATCCAGGCATTCACTCCTTCTCGTCAGCTTGTTTATCTCCGCGTCCAGCTGTGATTCAATCAGCCACACCTTCTCCAGAGAGACCTTTTTTCGAAACCATTCTCTGCCAAATTTCCTCTTCCGTCATCATCCAGGCATTCACTCCTCGTCAGCTTGTTTATCTCCGCATCCAGCTGTGATTCAATCAGCCACACCTTCTCCAGAGAGACCTTTTTTCGAAACCACCATAGCCACCTTTGGAATCCTCTGACAAGCATAAATGTCTATGCTACAACCACCCATTGTAACAAACTTAAAGCTTTGTAAGCTTTAGTTTGAAGGGAATGTTGGAATTAAATAATCAAATTCAAATATTTGTTATTCGGATTAGAATTAGAAAGTACTACCTCTCACAAATTATAAGTCACTTTTGTTGCCGAAAAAAATTGTTTTACGTTTCCAATGCAAATATTAATGACACTTTCTCCAATATACCATTAAGTATTTATTATTATTTTTTCATTCAACTCTTTTAATTTCTCTCTCTTATGTAATTATGAGGGGCATTACTGTAAAGTTGTATCTAATTTGTCTTTTTCATAAAGTAATAATTAAGTTTCTTAATTCATGTGAAATATTCAAAATGTCTTATAATTTGGGACGGAGCTAGTAATATCAATTAGTATTTATTTTATATGCTATTATAAGTAGAGATAAGTGTAGCTTGATTAAGACACAGAATCACAAATATTTAATTTAATGACCTGTGTCTTGAGAGGGAACTGTCGCAACTTCAGAGTGCAGAGTAAAAGCAATTGAATAACATTATATATAATCCAAGTATCATTTACATCAGCAATGAAGCATTATCATGTTCAAACATAATAGCTACAAGCAGGAATGTTTTCAGGAACAAGTCATTTGTCTAAAATAGAAAGAATTGAGTAGTTCCATACTCCTACTATTCAGGGAGGTGTACTGTAACATTTTTCGCATTAAATGTTTTATTTGTAAGCAACATATGTAGGAAAAATATATTAATAATTCCCTTGGTTAATACAAGTTACAAAATATGCAAGTTGATTTACCAGCTGGTTTGTGGAAGATGCAAGACCGCCTGCTCCTTCAGTACCAAACATCATCAAACTTTTGGATACGCCAGTAACATTCTGCAAGTTACCTGCCATAGCAACTCCATCACCAGGAGTGTGAGTAGATGGAGTTGATGGTTGAGAATTAGAAGGGCCAAGTGTATTTCCTGTGCCAGTACTATTGGCAGCTCCCGATGATGTAGGCCCTTTCCTTTTTCGGTTATTCTATAATATAGCATGCAAATAGTCATATATAATTGTAAAGAGAAATGATAGTTTGACACACAAATTTGACAACAAAACTGAACAATTTGGATGGTTAACGCCGTTCAAATATGTGGTTAATTATGTTCATTAGATGGTTAATAAATATAGCAAGGTGTCGCAATCCAATAACCATCCGTTGAACATAATTAACTACAACTTTGAATGTCTTTAACCATGATTTTCAGGTGTTCAAATCAACAACTTTGAATGTCTTTAACCATGATTTTCAGGTGTTCAAATATACGTGATAGTCATGATAACCGTCCAATACATGATTTTGAGGTTTTCAAATATACATGAAATGTATTAACAATAATGTTTGTTCAAAAATATTCGTCTGAAATTTGTGGTTAATTGTGTTTCGTGGATGGTTAATGACCTTGTTATTTTCATTAACTAATTCGAACCTAGCATCATTAAATACAACAAAGATAAAATTAACATAAAAAATTTAAGATAAAGATGTATACAACAGAACAAAGCGCCTAATGAGATTCTATTGTCCACAGAACAAAGCGCCCTCAAAGAACCAATGTTCTATGCCTATAAATTCCACTTCATACCTTTCTCTCTCCACTGAGAATCTTTAGAACATAACTCCCTTAATTTATTTCTTGTTTCCTTTTCTCACTCTCAGTCATGTGGATACCACTTTGTCCCTCTCTATTTATCTTAACATAAACTCCACAATATGGGCTGGGCTTGGACAACTGATGTGTAAACTGTCCCTTTGAGCCCACCTTCTCATGCGAGATCCAATCATTGCCCCCCTTTTAAAATACAGACTTGTCATTGGGACTTAGACTGTTAACACGCGTGTAACTCTCCTTGTGCGATAGTAGTGAAAGACCAAGACTTTTTATCCCAGAATCCCAATCCCACTGTTGTGAGTTTGACAAACTAAACACTCCACTTAGTTTCTGTCAAGAGTCCTACATCGGACAACACATGGTCTGAACATGTGTTTATAAGTGAGGATAATTCTCACCTTACAAACCGGTTAAGTCCAACCACATTTCATAATCTCAGAATTTGGGTTGGGCCTAACTCATCCCTACAAAACCGGTTTGTAAGGTGAGGATTATCCCCGCTTATAAACACAACACTGGTCATATCTCTAAGCAATGTGGGACTAAATTCACCCCTTCAAAGCCAACACAATTAAGGTGTTGGGAGTTGTAATTAAGGCAAGTCAAAGTGCTGCAATTAAGGCGACTAGGGGCGGACCGCAATTAAGGTGGAAAGTCCAACACACCCCCTCAAGCTTGGACCTCAATGAGCCCGTAGCGTGGACGATGCAAGAAACCCAACAGTGGATTAATGATAGGCTCTGATACCATCTTAAAATTTGGGTTGGGCCTAACTCATCCCTACAAAACCCACTTGTCCAACAATAGATCCAGATAGGCTCTGATATCATCTTAGAATTTGGGTTGGGCCTAACTCATCCCTACAAAACCGGCTTGTAAGGTGAGGATTACCCCCACTTATAAAAACAACAATGGCCATATCTCTAAGTAGTGTTGGGACTAAATCCACCCCTTCAAAGCCAAAATGCCGCAATTAAGGCGACTAGGGGCGTACCGCAATTAAGACGGAACGTCCAACACACCCTCTCAATACCATCTTAGAATTTGGGTTGGACCTAACTCATCCCTACAAAACCGCCTTGTAAGGTGAAGATTTCCCCCATTTATAAACAAAACACGGGTCATGTCTCTAAGCAATGTGGGATTAAATTCACCCCTTCAAAGCTAACACAATGAAGGTGTTAGGGGCTCCAAAGAGACAGGTCAAAGTGTCGCAATCAAGGCGACTAGGGGCGGACCGCAATTAAGGCGGAAAAACATAACATGGTATCAGAGTCTGGTTTAAAAATTTGTTGGACCACCTACTATCAGGTGTCCGCTATTGGGTCACACGCCACTTATATCCACACTCCAGATGTCAAATCCTAGGCGTGAGGAGGGGTGTTAAGATTTTCATATCGGACAATATGTGGCCTGAACATGTGTTTAAAAATGTGACAATCATCACCATACAAGCTGCTTTGGTAAGGTCAAGTTACACCCAACCACAAATCTTAACATGGTATCTAGAGATTGTTTCGATCCTTCTTGAACTACCGATCGCTTCCACTATTGAGTCCCAAAAATTTGGGAATGCATGTTGTTTTGACTTTTCTTAAGATATCTTCTATTAAAAAACCTCATGTTGAATCGACAAATTGTTCTCAGTCTAGTTTAAGAATCCTTTGGACCTCCTCCTATCAAATGTCTGCTATCGAGCCACCTGCCATTTATATCCACGCTCCAAATGCTCAGTCCTGGGAGTGAGTGGGTGTTAAGAATCTTACATCGGACAATATATGGCCTGAACATGTGTTTAAAAGTGGGGCAATCCTCACCTTACAAGTAGGTTTCGTAAGGTTGAGTTAGGCTCAACTACAACTCTTAACATGATATCAAGAGTTTCTTTCGATGCTACTTGAACTACCGATCGCTTCCGCAACTGAGTTCCCAAAAGTTTGGGAATGCGTGTTGTTTTGACTTTTTTTAATGATAGGTTCGATTAAAAAATCCTCTTGTTGAATGACTAATTATTCTCAGCATGTCGTATACCACTTTGTGTGTTTAAAGATCATCAATCATATATACCCTTCATTGCCTCTTTGTTGGTTTGGTCCCTCTTTTTGGATGCTTTCTGTCATATTCCGATTTTTTATCCCTATTTTTTTTCATCTGACACATATGGTCGCATTGTTAAAAAGTCAAAAATAAATGTGTCATTCATCATGCATTGTCATTTCATTTTCGGAATTAAACGGCTTTTATTTTAATTTGATTTGTGTTCAATGTTTAGTTTCAGTTCAATAACTATTTTCAATAGTATTTGCATTTTTCATCAAATTTTGCACTATTAATTGATTTTTGCACTCCACACTCGTTAGTTTGACAATTTTCTTAATGTATTTCATCATTAAGAAACGCTGAAAAAGATGAGTAACGGTAAGGTAGTTGGATCATACAACATACTTATTGAAATGTGGAAATTCTTGGAGATAGAGGCATTGAACGGCTCACTAAACTCTTTAACGAAATTATAAGGTCAAAGCAAATGTTGAATGAATGGGGAAGAAGCACTTTAATTCCAATATATAAGAACAAGAGGGATATACAAAATTTTGCAAATTATAGTGGGATTAAACTTATGAGTCATACCATGAAGTTATGGGAAAGTGATTGAACAGAGACTAAAAAGAGTCTCAAGTTAATGATAATCAATTTGGTTTTACGCCTGGGAGGTCGACCATGAAAGCGATATATCTACTAAGACGTGTGGTGGAGCATTATCAGATGGACCAACAAAACTTGCATTTAATTTTCACTAATTTGGAGAAGGTGTATGATAAAGTGCTTAGAATGATTTTGTGAAAAACCCTAGAGAAGAAAGAAATTAAAATTGTCTAAATTCGAACTATTCAAAATATGTATAAGGATGTATCAACTAGTGTGCGGACATAGGGTGGGCAGACGAACGATCTCCCCATTAAAATAGGATATCACCAAGGTTCAACCCTAAACCCTTACCTTTTTACTTTGATTTTAGATTTACTCACAAAACACATCCAAGAGCTAGCACCGAGAAATATGCTTCTTGCAGATGATGTATTCCTACTTAGAGAGTTGAAGGAGGATTTAAATGAGGTTGAAGACTTGGAGACAAGCCTTAGAAACACATTGCTTTCGCCTAAGAATAAAGTAAGACGGAGTATATGGAATGAAAGTTTAGTAAGAGGAAAAGCGTTTCTAACGTAAAGGTGAAAGTTGGAAACCATAGCACCCCACAAGTCACGCGGTTTAAATATTTTGGGTCCGTAATACAAAACGATGGAAAAATAAGAGAGGATGTAAACCATTTAATTCAAGCTAGGTGGTTGAAATGGAGAAAAGTCTCCAGGATTTTATGCGACACAAAAGTATCGCTCAAATTAAAGGGAAAATTTTATCGAAAATCAGTAAGACATGCGATGTTCTACGTGATAGAATGTTGGGCGGTGTGAGATAAGTATGTCCCGTTGGATGTGTGGTAAGACTAGATAGGATAAGATTAGAAATGACTATTAGAGAAAGTGTTTGGGTAGCACCTATAGTAGAAAAAATAGTGGAAAATAGACTTAGGTAGTTTGGACATGTAGAGAAAAGACTTGTAGATTCTGCTGTAAGGAGAGTAGGTCAGATGGAGAGGAATCAAAAAAAACTAAAGGTAGAGGAAGAACTAAATAAACTATAAGAAAAATATTAAGGAAGATCTCGAGATTAACGAATTCGATAGAAATATGCTCTTTGATAGAACATTATGCGCAATTTGACCCATGTAACCAACCCCGCTTTATGAATAAAGCTTGATTATTGTTGTAGTATTTTATCATTAAGGGGAAATCTCCAAATCAATTCTCGGATCGGTTAGTGAAGCAAGTGTTGTCACCAGACTCCACAATAATTGGACGGCAATCTTGAATCAATATGTGAGCTTAACTCCAAAAATATGAGTTGAGATTTGTTCCAGAACTTTAAAAGCATTCCCACATTCTACAAAGTTGGAAATCAAAGAGTTCCACAATGCAATATCCATCACTTTCGGTACGCGCCAATCAAGGGATCAGAAGGCATCATAAACTTATTACACAATTTACCAATATTCCTAAAAACACACCCATGAACTGCTTCTCTCACCTCCAAATCCATAAGATCACCACATGAACCGATGATGATAGGAATGGATTGGATCCCACAAATGATGATGGGAATGTGTTAGTTAATAGAGATATTATTGGACCTAAACAATGGAGGATATATGTGAGAAAGAATAGGAAACTCCACAAATAAATAGGAGTTAGTTTAGGTATTATTCTCCATATAAATAGGAGTTAGTTTAGGGATTATTCTCCATATAAA